GCCGCCTGGCAATTACTTAGTTATGTAAAGTAACTCATTTTTCGGCCGTGGAGTGGCTTGATGAAGCCGCCCGAGATGGGGTGCAAACTTGATGGGCTTTCTCCGCTGGAATTTGCTGGGAAGCTGGGAGCAGAAAAACTGGGAAACTCGAAACTCGAATCGCTGTGCTCGGTGTTCTTGGGCTCTTAAATTATTCACTGGGCGCGTGAAAGTATTTTACATACGCTTTCACTTTACTTTCCCCGTCGTGGCTCTCTCTCGCTCTCTCTCTGGGTGTGCTTAAGTGTTGAGTGCACATCGCTTGATGTCACACCAAAAAGTCATTCAATATTTATGCATATTACGCATACGCCCCGATGGCGCTGCCATTTTGTGCGCCCCCTTGTTGTTTTTTTGTTCTCTTTTTTACAGCATAGTGCAAAAATGTGTAGCATTAGGAAAGGATTGCCCAACTTGTTGGTAACTTAATTGAAATTGCCCAAAGCCGTCCATTCTCTTTGGGGAACACTTAACACTCCAAGTCCTTACACAATTTGTACATTTGTTGATGCAATAAATATTTGAATTTATTACTCAATTATGGCCAAGGCCAGGGACCACCATCACCATCACCACCACCTCTTGCGGCTGCTTTTCGAAAAACAATTTTATAGGCAATTTACTTCAATTAAGCGATTTAATTTATTTTATTAGTTTTGTTCCAACAGCAGCCTCCAATGCCAAATGCAAAGTGCGAGGCCTGCAAGTGCGCCAAGGACCCTAAGGACTAGCCATCACTGGTGCTCCTGGAGTTCCAGAAGCAGATTTCTCTTGCCAAAGGATACCCTAACTCAGAATTGTGTTTATATAATTTTCTAAATTATTGTTTAACCTTAAAAAATAATTTTAAAAAATTCTAGAAAGGCTCTAATGGTTCGAATTCTTTTTGCTGAGGTAGGGAAAGTATATTGTTAGCTTTAAAGGGTATTTCTTAGTTCGTTGAATCTTGTTACCTTCTTTGTTTGGCCACTGTTTTTTGGCTTGTGGCACTGGCAGCCCACTCTCCACTCCCTCGGCCCCTTTTTTGGGTCTCCATCCATCCAAACAACCGCGGCTTGCGTTGATTGTTATTTTATTGCCCGCATAGAGTAGAACATCACACAGCCAGTCGAAAGCCAAAATTGTGTTTGCTGCTGTTTTGTGGTCGAAATCTCATTTTGCCAGCCAATTCCACCCTCCCCCCACCACCCCCCTCCGCAGCCATTAGGCGAGAAATTTTTGCAATTAATGTCTGCAGAAAAAGTTGCGTTAAACACAAACTTTCAATGGACGAAACAATAATTTGCAGCAATAAAAGTGTGTGAGAGGAGAAGGCAAACGGAAGTGGAAGTGGAAGCGGAAACGGAAGTTGCCCCCCCCCACCCCCTCACCCGTTCCATGCATTCAAAATTGAGGCCATAAAACACTTGCAATACGCCAAAGAAGCCAATAAGCCAGGTTCGTGCCGGAGTCAATCAATCATGAATGGAGGCCATTGCACAGAACCCAAAATAATATAAACATTAATATTATTATGGCAAACATGGAAACTGAAGTATCTAATTTCAATGCGATTTATTTGTAGACATCATATATTCATACGATTTTATGGCATATTTTAGGGGACAGGAAATAAGCCCAAGACCAGGCCAGGCTTATATTTTGTTTTTCGAAATAATGTTTTAATGCATTTCATTATGTTTTATCTAGTTAATACAAATCTACATATGTAGGTTTGTATATGGAGGCACAAAATATTATATTCAAGTTTTTATAGTTTTTTTTTTAATATTTTTTCAATGTTTATGTATTATTATTTAGTTACCAACAGAAAGTATATATACGAAAAGGTTGAAGAAGGAATTTCCATATTGGAATGATTGTTTTTTGATGTTTTTATTTGCAACTAAAATAATTTAAATCGATTAAAAAGCTACAAAAAATCTACTAAAAACTTATTAAAATCTATTACAAATGTATTAAAAAGCTATTAAAAATCTGTTCAAAATCTATTAAAAATCTGTTCAAAATCTGTTCAAAATATATTTAACATTTATTAAAAATCTATAAAAAAAAATCTTTAAAAAATCTTTTAAGAATATATTAAAAATCTTTTAAAAATCTACTAAAATCTATGAAAAATCTTTTAAAAATCTATTCGAAATCTATTAAAAATCCATCAAAAAATCTATGAAAATTCTATTAAAAATCTATACAAAATCTATAAAAATAAATCTATTAAAAATCTATTAAAAAATCTATTAAAAATATACAAAAAATCTATGAAAAATCTTTTAATATTCTATCAAAAATCTATAAAACATCTATTAAAAATCGTTTAAGAAACTATTAAAAATCTATGTTCTTCCATCTCTAATATTCATCTGTATTATATATAATATTCACTTAAAACAAGAAATCTCAAGGATCATAAAACCCATAACTACTAAAAAACAACGATCATAAAGTCTTACAAAAATATCTCACAAAACTTGTTTCCTTCAATCGATTTAATAACTAATTCTCACAATGGAAACCCAATAAACAGCATTAATATACCTTGGATTCTTGGCTTTTAAAGCAGTAAGCATTCCCCTTCCCTTCGGGCCAAAAGTCAGTGGCGTTACATTATTATGCTCCTCTGCCACCTCCGACAACGTGTCATCAAGTTATTATGTTGGGACCCACTCACCACTCACCAGACACAGCAGCCTTGGCTTTGCGGCAATTCATTTAAATATGCAAATTAAGGGGCAAGTAATTAAATAAATTAAATGTTTTCGAGCCAAGCCGCAAATGCACAAAACTCATCTCCGTCGGCGCCTACTCGTCATCCGGTGTCCTGCCTCCTGCTGCTAATTTTTGCATGTTGATTTAAATTAACATAAATAAACGAACGAGCAAATGAATGCCTGAGTGTGGGGTGTCCATGCCGGACATATGCATATTTAAGCAGCCTCCCACACCCACACCCACACACACCACTTGTCTGCATAATAAACAACAAATAATAATAATAATAATAATAATAATTGCAATTACACTCAACTCCTGTCTAAGCACTTGTTATTCGGTCAAGCCCTCAAATGGTTTTTGTTTGCATTGCCCATTAATCATGCTAATCGCCGAGGAATGTGTGTTGCCAGGCCCCTTTGAGAGCCAATTTAAAGCCATTTTTGGCCTGTTTTGATTGCAACAGCTTCGGGCCTTAACTTTTGGCCTTGTTTTTAGACCTCAGCCAGGACCAAAGAAATTATCCAATGAATCGAGAAATTTTTGGCCCAAAACAGATGGTCAGTAATTGTTAGATTACTTTCTGTTTGTCTTTGGGAAAGGGTAAATGGAATTTGTAGCTTCTCTGATTTGTTTCAGTGCATACACCAAGAGAAAATGATGTTTAAGAAACAAAGGACTAAGGCTGGAATATTGAAAACTAGTTTAAAAATGTATATTGTATGTATACTAATATAATAACAATTAATTTCTAAATGAATAAATTAGTCCAGAAAGATGTTTAGCTATATCCAAAAAATCTTGTGATCTAATACCTTCCGTGTTCCTTTTGATAAATCCATCATTATTGAGGCCTTTCCCTGTCCATTGTCCCCACCTGGATTGCATTAATTAGCGCCAGAGAGACCTCGATGACATCATCCAGTGGCTAAAGGAAGCTGACAGTTAGTGTGGCCACCTAATTGCCATTTAAGCAGCGCTACTTCTGAGCCTACAGTTTACATCTCCCAGCTGCTTCTTCCAGCTTCCATCTCCCATCTCCATGTGACGTCCATTGTCCTTGCCGGCTTTTTCCCGATTGCGGGAATGCGATAAGACGGGCAGGTCGGGTACATCCTATGGCATGACTATGGCAATGCCGCAGGCAGGATTTATGAGTTGACATCGCTTCCACTAAGCAGATTAAATGCTGTGCGCCCAGAGGCTGGTTGCCAGGCGACCGGGATCAGCCGCAATGATAAAAATAGGCAAATCCGCCGAAGGACTAACCATTTACCTCACCAAAATGAGGAAAACCTAAAGCACACACACACACACACAAAGAGAGAAAGGAAAAACCCACCTGTATGGGTGGGTGTGCTCCCTGCCACCCCTCCTCCCCCGCCTTGTGGGCCCAAAAAATGTCTGGCTAAAACTTGCTCATGACATGCGAACAAACAAGTGCCATAAATAAATTTAAATTGCGCCAAAAATCGCACGCTATTATTATTATTTATTATGTAAGCAATTTGCTGGCATTTCTATATACACACAGAGGCGGTGTGTGTGTGTGTGTGTGTGTGTGTATGGCAGTAGGAAAAGTTTATTAGAACTTTGTCATAAAGTCAAAGTTCGACAACTTTAAGAGCCCGGCGAAACGGCAGTTGCTAGAATTTCTGGCATTTTTGTCCAGCATATAATAAAGAGAGAGTTAACTGTTCCATCAAAGGAGCAGGATTTGCAGGAAAAATAACAAGGAGCCCAAGGAGCCCAAGGAAACGGTCTAGCAGGTCTGCAAAGTACAACTTAAATGTGCTTAAAGAAAGGTTATTTCACTTAAAAGGGTTTAAGACAGAAAGGAGCTATTTAAAAATGAAATATACATATAAATAAACTTAAAAAAATGTTAATGAACTTATTTAAGGCAGTTAAAGCCACCTAAAATATATAAAAATAAAATATTTAACTTATTTACTTTGTTATACCAATACAGTTAGCCTTAATATCAAACTTTAAATGGCTTAAAAAAAGGATATTTTTACTGCCAAGGGTTTGACGCGGAAAAGGGCTCTTTAAATCAGAAAAACAATATTGTTGATTTTGCAGAGAAGCTTGAATTATATTTTTTTACTCATTTAAGGCACCTAAAACCACCTAAAGTATATATATTTATATTTGATATATAATATATTTTATTTATTACCATTTTCCCCAAAGCAGGCAATACAATAACCCCAACAATGTATCTAAAAAAACATAAATCAAAGCTCTCGTAGTCACAGTTATTGATTTTATTTTCACTTTTTCAAATGTATACATGCACGCTCTATTCATAGACAATAAAAATAACTTGCATTTAAACACTCAGTTTACCGTATATTGTAGTTTTTTCTTATTTTTTGTATAATGTTTTATGTGTATTATCTCGTTTGTGTATCGTTTATATATATAGTACAATATATAGAATACAAAAATCATCTGCTCTCGAGTGAGTGGAACCGGGAACTTAAATGCATAGTACGAGTACCAGACCCCAACCGAAAACTGAACAATTATGAGGCTCCTCCATGATGAGAGTTTTAAGGAACCGAAAGATCTCCAAGAAAAAAATGTTTCTTAGGGGAGATTTCTTTTGTGCTTTGACTGACTAACTTTGGATTTATTTTGGCTCGAAGGTGGCATTAACTATTTCCTATCACAAAATGCTCGGATTTGGTGTCACATCATCGAAGTCTGATATGTGTGTGTGTGTCTCTCTTTGGCTATATAATCTCAATATAGTATATCTGAGCAGTAAGTAATTTTAATTGGTATAGGTTTTGGTGTCCCTCTGCAGCTGCTAACTAAAGGTAAATGTAACTAAGGGTAAAACATATTATTTTATATATAAAAAAATAATTGGAAAACAAGGAAAACCCTCTTAGTATTGCCATCTCTCTCGCTTTCACACTCACTAGTTAATGTATGTGTGTTTTTCTTTCTCTCAGCCACAAATCTACGGCCCAAGTCCAGAATTTTGGGTAGAAAAACCTCTTCGAAACAATTAAAAAGCAAAACAGATTTAAAAAAATTTATATCATACTTTTAGACAGTTTTTAAAGAGATTTCAAATATCTAGTAAATCCTAATTTACTTTTATTAATTTTATTCAGAGAAAAATATATGAAAAACTCTTTTCTTGGTTTCTTTTGGAATATAAAATAAAAACTAAATAAAAGCACTGACTAAACATCACATTAATTTGGCCTTGGGTCCACGAGCCACAAATCTTTGCATTACTTTGTATCTTTATAATACAATATACATTAATAGTTCTACAAATAGCTAAGTTACAGTTATCGTTATCATTTATCATTTATCATTTATCGTTATCTATATATATGTATATGACCCGCCCCCACACACAGTTCACATTTTAATATGTAGTTCATGGTTCTCAGGGGACGACTCTCTCCCAGAATCCATGCCTGGATTTTTAAATTTATCGTCAGATTCGATCATTTTCATAGGCACAATGACTGACGGCAATAAAAAAAAAAAAAAAAAACAAATATAATTGTAGTAAAAAATAAATAATAATAAAAAAAAATATAGGACAACTGTAGCCTTAGAATTCCGGATGCAGGAACAGCACTTAGAGTCTCTGCGTCCCTGTAACCAGCCCCTTTCTTAGCTTTGGCTTTTTTGGCTAACTCTGAGATCGGAACAGGGCCACTTCCCTTACCACACCTCGCACTTGTCGGTGGGATTCATGCGCTTGCCGGGCTTGCACTGGAAGACCTCGGCGAACTCCTTCATGTTTGACAAGGTGCCGATCACCCGGAACTGGGAAGGCGAATGAGGATCCTTCTCCATCTGCAGAAGGTTGGTCTCTTCCGTGGTGCTGGAGCACCAGACCTAATATATACATATCGGTTAGTACTCCACTTTGAGATATGTTTCATACTCAACTCACCTGTGCAAAGGACACAAAGAAGAGCTGCGAGTGGGTGAGGTTCAGGCCCGGCAGCCTAAGGACATCCGCCTCCTTCTCGCTCTTGGTGCGCTGGTAGGCATGATAGGCCGCCTTAAGACCGCCATTGTCGGCAATATTTTCACCTAATTATAGAGGAAACTCAAAGGTTAAACATGGAACCTTAACCACACCGATCTCCTCCAGCACTTACCCAGCGTCTGCTTGCCATTGAGCGTCCGTCCGTTCATCTTGTAGCCACTGTACTGGCGGGCAATGCACTCGGACTTCTCGTTGAAGCGCTCAATGCTCTTGGCATCCCACCAGCGATTGATGTTACCATACTTGTCGTACTCCCGCCCCTGGTCGTCGAAGGCATGGGTCAGCTCGTGACCCATCACCACGCCCATGGCCCCGAAATTAAGGCTCTTGGGATTGTTGATATCAAAGAAGGGCGTCTGCAGGATGCCGGCGGGAAAAACAATTTGATTCTTGGTCGGCGTATAATAAGCATTCACCGTCTGCGGGGTCATGCCCCAGTTGGTCTTGTTCACCGGCTGATCGAGGCGCTTCAGGTTGCTCTTCAGATTATAAATGGCCACCTGGATATTGTTCTCGAAGTAGGCATTCGGCGTGATGTTCAGCTCGGCATACTTGCGGTCCAGCTCCACGGGATCCAGTATATAGTCCGGGAAGCCAATCATATCCGATATTTCGTTGGCCTTCTCGATGGCCTTCTCGCGCGTCTGCTTGTCCACCCAGGTGAGATTCTGCAGGTTCAGCTTGAAGGCCTCACGTATCTCGCCAATCATCTGCTCTGCCGCCGGCTTGGACTCGCCATGGAAAGCCTGACGCACAAAGATGGCACCGACGGCAAAGCCAACCACATTGTTTGTGTCGGAGACGCAGTACCGCCAGATCTCCTCGCCACCATCCGAGCCCATAAGGGCCTTCCGGACACCCTTGTAGGCATCCCTGAAAGGTTTAGACAGGCAGCTGGTCAAGGTGCGCACCGCCTGCCAGATGAGATAGTTGTTCAAGGTGCTGCAAAGACAAGGAAACCAATGACTTATCTATTGGGGAATATCTGGAGGAGCACACTCACATCTTCCCCTCCTCGCTCTGCTCCATCTTGAGTATAATGTCCGAGAGATTCTTGAGAAAATCCGGGGCATAGACAACCACCACCTCGTCGTCGGTGACCCGGCGACCCACCATCTGCATGGCATTATCAAAATGATCCGTCCAGTTAAGGAATGGTGCCAACTTGGCCAGCTGTCGCAGTTGCATGGGATGATACATGGCCTCCTCGTTGCGTCTGTCCTCCAGGGGAATGGTGATATTGGCCAGCTTCTTCTCAAAGTTGATAACGCCCACCATTTGAGCGCGGGCATCGGTCTCGTTGGCACCCAGAAGGACGCACACCTTGGTCATGTACTCGATGTACTCGTTGAGCACCTTGCGGTGATTGTCCGTCTTGTTATTATAATAGTCGGCGGTGGGCAGGGTGAGTCCACCCTGATCAATCTGGATGACATGGCGGGAGGAATTCTTGTCATCCTCGCCAATGGCCCAGCCAAACAGGCAGTTGAAGTTGTACCTTAAAGAAGGTATATAAATATTTATATATTATCCGAGATAAGCTAAGCATCTTGGCTCACCTGTTGTGCAGTATCTTGAGCGTACGGGCCATTGTCCAGTTGGCCACATTGTAGCCACTTTTGGTCACATTCCAGCCGCCAATCTGCAGCAACAGATCGTTCATGGGCTTGGCTCCCAGCTTCTCCATATGCTCGTCGGCATCCAGGCAGGACTCGTAGTAAACTTTGGCCTTCCTTTCGGCATCCGACTTGAAGCTCTTGGCCGGCTTCTCCAGCACATTGCGAATGATCAGCTGGTTCATCTGCTCCAGCTTACCGAAGGTGCCCCAGGTGGACTTGCCCTCGGGTATGGGATTGTTCTTGATCCACTGATTGCTGTTATTTAAATCGTTTTACTTAGTTTCTTGGAAAGGTATTCCTAGCATAAATACCTACCACGAGTAACCATAGAAATCATCGCAGGGATCTACGGTCACATCGATGGACTTGAGAATCTCGCTGGAGGCAAAGATGCAGTGCTTATTCAGGCAGGGCAGCTCGTTACCCGAGGGGCAATCTGTGGTCAGGGAGAGCAAGGTGAGTTAATATCATAAATATATATATAAAAATAATACCCTTTTGGTGCGGCTGGACATGCAGGACATGTTTGGTGGCATCGCTGGCTCCTCCATCCGCAAAAAGGACAATCAAGAGGGTAAAGATCATAATGGCCATGGCAAATGTGGTGATTAGCAGCCATTTCTCCGTCTTGTTCCTCGAGCGCCAGTTCCATGTGGCCTGTGAGATTCAGAATGAGAATGAGAAGAGTCAGCCATTGCCAGGCGGCTACTATTATCAAGCAATCAGATCAGACTACCTAGTGGCCTCCAAAAAAATTAAACACACAAAAGCTAAAGCTACAGCTAAAGCCCTCCCCATAAATCTCCCCCAGTGGCGTGTGTTTTGTAAACAATCGGCAACCCAAAAGCAAGACGGCGGCGGTTCAAATGAGTTCAAACTTGTGTGTATCTACCCGAGAAAAATCTCGCCTACTTAAGTCACTTGCTGCTCAATTCTTTCCACCCATTGGGCAGGCACCTAAGCTGCCACGACCAGCAGATGCTCTACCTTCTACGTGGGGATTAACTGCGAAATTTAATTGGAATTTATCTGTATTTTGAGGTTTATCTGAAGCCTGAAGTTAATCGTAAAGAAGAAGGAAGGGATTTTATTTATATCTCAAAAAAATATTGTAGAAATTATTGAATAAATGTGTTTTCCGAAAACTAAACGTAGATCTGATTAAAAATAGATCCATTTATATTGAAGCCGTGTGTGTCTTTTATGTCTCCTAAAAATATTTTATGTCTAAGGGGGATTTTTGAAAATTTTTAAAAATAGGAAACAACATTTTAAGAGAGGAGCCTACTTTAAATCTCAATTTTATAACTTAACTCATTTTAATCTTATCATTTTTTTAATATAAAAATTTAAGCAAATATAATTCATAGATAAACCCCAGAGAGCATAGATACGGTTCCGTTTTTTCACTGTCAAGCGGCAACCTTCTGGCCAATAAAAAAAAAGCTAAGCGCTCATGTTGGCCTCATTTTGGTCTCGTTTTTGGGTCATTGCCGAGCTAGATGAAGAGCTGGATGAGAACTGACTCTTTGGGGTGTATAGAACTATATTCATACTCTTTGATATCACTCACCCGCGCAGTGTGGTAGCGTATCTGCATGCCAGTGTGGCCAGTTGCCTCGTTGAGCTGGATGCCGCCAATGGAGCTCGAATCATCTTCCGTGAATTCGGTTTGTTTGTAGCGTGTCATCTGCAATTAAATTGGAGAAAATTATTTTTAATGATTGTATAGACTGCAAACTAAGTAATTCAACTTTGTATGTATAACATATAAATCGAGATATATCGATATTATATCGAAAATATCAGTTACTAACCCCAAATGTTGTTATTTAAATACTTTTTGAGTAAAATTAAACTGGAATTGTAATATTTGTTAATAATAACTTAAAAGAATATAATAATATGTAATATATATTCGATATATCTTTAAATACTTGGTGATACTCCGTCCATAGGTCTGTTTTTTGTCACTGGTGTTTACCCTAGGGCCTTTGGGCATCTGATAAGGGGCAAAATATATTTGTAGATACAGAAAGTGGCATTGCTGTCGAAGCTTTTTTTTTCGTTAGCATTCACTCAGCGCCTTGTGCTTTATTTGTTCTCTCACAGAATACCCCCTCAATCCCCATGCTTTAACCCTTGTGTCAGCAGCAGCACCATCAGCATGTTTACAAATGATCTTTTCAATTTTGTTGTATATACATATTTCGTATATATTTTTCCGTATATAGTCCTATTGTTTACCTGTAAATGGTGATAACAAAACAGATATCTTATCGCTTTTATCAGAGTTTCCACCAAAAAACATATAAAAAATTAAAGCAAGAATATATAATTTCTGATTTACAGAATAATTAATTAATGAAAATATTTATTATAATAAATATTAAAAAATTAGCTGGAAGTTACAGCCTGTCTTGGAGTATTTTTTACAATCCTAAACTACCTTGTCTTCCCATAACCCTCCCATTCGTCTAAGGGTTAAGCCCCTTGTCGTTTGCAACCACTTGTCAGCGTTTAATGGCTTCCATTAACCAAAGATCTGCGATCTGCATATGCCACTTGTATGGATATGATATGGATATATGTAGATCCCTTGTACATATCATATCAACCTACCGAGCGGCAGTCGGAGAGCCACATTTTCTGCGCCTTTCTCAGCCCACAAAAGGTAAGTACTCAGAGATAGTACTCAGATACTCGATGGTTTGCTATTTATTTTCTTTTTTTTTTTTTTTGCTTTCCGGCGGGATGAGCAGCGGTATGATAACGGTATACGGCGGCGGCGATAATTCCGTGTTCAGCCCATGACCGTTGGGTGTGCACTGAGGCCCGAGAGCTCGCGGAGCTTCCACCCAGGAACCGAGCCCCCGAGTAGCGGTCCCGAGTCCCCATTCCCCAGTCCCCATTCCCCAGTCCCCATTCCCCAGTCCCCATTCCCCAGTCCCCATTCCCCAGTCTCCCAGAATTGAATAGTTTTGCATTGTACACAAATTAATTGAGTGGTGTGTGTGTGTGTGTGAGCGGGTGGCATGTATCTTTATGTATATAGTACTGCTCGGAATATAAATGTATTGGACAGAAAATATGTATTCAATTAACGCAAAGCAATTCCCAATTAATGTCTGCATCATTGGCCATTGTTTATGTGCATTTTCATTTCACATTTTTGGTTCTGCGTTCATTCAATAACCAAGCTACAGCTATATATTTGGGATCAGTTTCATATATACTATATATATTTGATGGTAATCGAGAGCCTTGTTGAGTGATGTAAGCTTGGTAAGCCAGTAAGCGGAGAGAACTCCCTCACAAATATCACTCATACGCCGCGTGGCCTTACTCAAATAAATACCCTTGGCATAGACCATCGATGGCCAGTCCTCACTGTATCCTATGTACACTGTATTGGCTTACAATTCGTGGTCAGAGAGAGAGAGAGAGAGCATTCAATTTATCACCATCAAATTTGAAGTGAAAACTGTTGCGCAGTTTGTGTTGTTTTCCTTTTCTTTGCATTTATTTTTGCCATATTTTGCCATCTATTATGGATGGTTTTGGGCCAAAAGTCTTGGCCAGAAGCAATTCCGGCGAAATGTAAACACAAATTGCACACTCACACCCACATTTAGAGGGATTGTTGAATGTAAACAGACATTAACTGGCATATGTATAAGCCTAACGAACGCTCCTTATGGCCCACAAATCGAAATTTGGTAAAAAAAAAAAACAGGCCAAAAAGAGGATAATCAGCTAGAGGACTAGGAAGGTTATATTCTATATATATTTAAATTATTTTTATTTTTTTAATGGGATTTTTATTGAATTTAAAATGAAAATACTATTAACCTTAAAAGTAACCTGATCTTGATTTATAAATATATTAAAAAATTATAAATAAATCAAATTAATATAAAAATAAAATAAGTTTTATGTCTGAAACCTTTCGATTTGTCCATATTTCTGAAAGAATAAAACTTCTGGAATATATCAACAAAAGTTGGCAGGATGTAGGACTCAACTAAGACTTCAGCTTACTAGACTCACCTAAGAAAATATAACATATATATATATATATTAACCACAAAACCAAACCCAATAGATTCCGAGATCTCTCAGAGTTCATAAACGCTTTTTATGGCCATGCAAAGGGAATTCTGTGGCCATCAAAGTGGGGTATATGGGGGAGGAGATCTTCCTGCTCCCCCCCTTTTGGTGTTGCCTATCCCCCAGGGGTAGCTGCTATGTTCTGGACTACTATAACATATGTTGGAAATCACTTTTTGAGGGAGCGGGAGGGAGCCGGGGTCGACTTTGAGCTGAATTTATGGTGCAGTCCCTGCAATTTATGTATACCAAGGGCCAGGGCCAATGCTATAGTTGCGGCAGGAAGGATCACAAAAGCAGGGGTGCATTGAGGAGGGGGGGGAGGGATGTTGCACCCCGATTTTGGGGGCTTTTTGGGGGCGTGGCGTGTGGTTTATGTGGTGCAATTGTTTAGCTGCAAAAGGCAATTACAAGTTTGAAAGCAGCATTGTTTATATCGCACAGGCACAGGCACAGGCACACTCGCACACTGTCAAACACACACACACTTAACACACACACTCGCCCGAGAGAGGCCCGCTCTTTTCCTACCTTTGCGCTCATTTTCTTTGTGCGCCCAAATGAATGCAATGCGATTTTTCCAGCTGCCTCCACTCGCTTTTCCACTCTGACTTTATCGCCTAAATTTATTTAAGTTTGCACTTTTGATTCCAATTTGGAAAAATCACTTAAAGCCCAAAGTTCTGCATGGCGTTTAGGTTTCCAGGAGTTTTTTTTCTTTTGGCAACGGAAGGAATCTGGAACCTAAGCCAGGACCAACTGACAGCAACAGCACCAGCAGCGGCACTCGCACTCGAACTAGCTTTTCCTCTCCTGCGGGGGGGGTGGTGGCGAAAAGCCAGGAAAAACCATAACACAAACGTAGCAAAGGGGCCCAAAACACTCGCAAACAGAGAGAGCAAGGGAGAGAGAAAGCAAAAGAGAGCGAGCAAACCGAACCCTTAGCCTGAGCTTCGGGGGGTGGCAACCTCAGGGTTGACACCGCTTTGCACTGCGCAGGATCTGTGCCTCAGGTGGCACCACTGGCATTCTTAACAGTTATCGATTAATGACACTTCCTTTTGGGCAATCGATTAATGACACTACATTTTAGACAATCGATTCCTGAGTTTTAATTAAATTTTTAGCATTAGAAATATTAGAAACTTAGTTTAAAAATAATTATTTAAGAAATACAACTTTTCGTGGTAAATTGTAAAGTTTCGAATTTATTATTATTAATTTTTAAAATATCCTTAAAATAACAATAAACCAAGATCAATTAAATAAATCAACATTAACTGCCCATTCTGGATTTTATGGCTTAAATCTTCATCTTTAATTGTTATTATTATTAATTATTATAGATTTATTATTATTTTAGTTGGTAACAAATGCATTTATTTGTTCTTATTTATTTTTTATTGCCATAAATAATCTCCAAACCCGATTTTCCCTTTCAAAATCTTCACCTCTCCCAATCAGCCAAAAATAGAAACTATCCAGTATTACCATATCTCTTGGCCGACCTAAATAGGGTTTACGTCACAGAAGCCGCGAGAAAGCAAATTTGCACTAAAACCCAGCAATTGTTGCCTTTCGTTTTTTCTTCAAAAGGCAACAAAGCACCTGCATTGTTATGACGTTGATAAAACCGCCCGGCTCACCTGTCTGTCTACCTGAAAGGTGTGAATCGGTTGGAAAACAATATGAGAAAAATATTTGACCGAGAAAATAAGAGCCGCAATGCAATTCGGATGATCTTCAAAGCCCAGAGCTGCTCGTGCATTGAAGGAAAATAATATTCAGAAAAAAACCAAGTGTTTATATAATTCAAATAGATTTAATAAAAATAAAATTAAATAATTATTTTGTAAAGAAAAAAAGGAATATAATTTTTATTTTAGAAATTATCTTTAAAATCCTTTAGGTGGTGATGATGTCTTACCTGCTCTGGGATAAACCAACATTTGGCAAGCCCCTTAACCCCATAATGACCCTGGTTATTGTCAGGTATATCAACAAATTAACGTGTTCTTTAGCGGAAAAAAACACAAAAAACAAAACAAAACGAAATAAGACTTCAAGTTGCGATTCTCACGTCGGACGAACACTTTAACCGCATCAACATTACATTGCATCAATTTGCGTGTTCTGTATTTGAAAATAAATTATACCCTCGGCTGTAAATAGATTTTGTTAAGCAAAAAAGATGGCGACTTCACAAATGCTCTACATTTAAAATGGGAAAAAATTGCTAAAGAAATATTTATATATAATAAAATATTTTTTAATATTTTTTATTAAGACAGTAAATATAAATATATTGCAAATAATAATAAATAAACTAAAAATATTGCTAATATTGATACAATTTTTAGATTGTTTAAGCTTAACTTTATTTATTATTTAGCACTCATTTTTAACGTTTTAAATTTTATAAAATATTTTTCCCTTAGCTTTTTACTTACCAGAATTATTAAAAATAATATTTCAAGTAATATATTTTTGATCATTAATGAAAACTCCCAATCCAGCAATGTATATGTACTCTTTGTCGATCACAAGTCGCCGCACAATACACTCCGCCCAAAAAATTGAGTGTGTAAACAATTAAAATCAACAACAACCACTAACTGATGACTCGGTTTTCAACAACAACAACAACAACAACAACAGCGATTAAGTTGTTTGTTTTTGTTGCCAACTAAGCGCTTTTGCCTGAGTAAAAAACGGGTTTAAAACCGTCAACGGCACTCCGGCAGCGGTTTAGTTGAAGCAAAGCGATCCAGCGGTAAACATGTCCATTTCGAATCGATTCTTGAGCGGTAGCACAGCGGTGCTGATGATCTGCTTGGCCCTCGCCAGGTTTAGTGCGGGTGAGTGCCGGAAAAATGGAAAAGCGCAGAGGAAAAGCCCCCCCCCCCCCCAACACCAAGATAAATGCAACAAATGGGCCCATTTACCTGCAAAAGGCTTACTCAACTTACATAAAGAGTCACTTTAAAGACTGATATAAGTCCCACTGATAGTAGGAAAAAGGCTAATGAAACTGAACCAGAGAAAAGTGGGAACTTTGAAACGCAACTGGATATTAAAGCAATAAACTAAATAAATAATAATAAAAATTACTAAGAAAATAGTAAAACATTTAAAGATATTGGAAACTAATAACAGAAAATATTATAAATTATATTCAAGTTGGAATTATAAAGCTAGAAACTCGAGATTCACAAGAATGCACTTATAATCATAATTAAAAAAAAAATAATATCGAAAAATATAAATATGTTAAAATATAAAAAAGATAAATAACATGCAATATATATTTAATATAACACGGTTTACTTTAAACATCGAAATAACCTTTTTAATTATCATAAAAAAACATGGCAAAAGGCTCATAAAGCAGCTTAAATTATACATAAAATATTAACATTTAATTTATTTTTTTAAGTGTACAAGCCCGCTGTACGATAGCAAATGTGTATTTGTGAAAATAATTAGAGAAAACGAAATAAGGTCTTCACTTATATGTACAAACGGTTTTTCTTATCTTCCAAATTTACAATTTTCGTTTTTCTTGAAAAGTTTTTAAATTTACAAAATTAAAACAATTTAAAAACCCAACATTTATATGCAAGGGAATTTACAAAAATGAAAAGCATTACAATTTAAGAGTTACATAACAAAGAAAACACATTCATGGTAGAATTTCAATTGGAATTATAACTCAGAAAGGCTTAAAAAAATTTAACAAAATTATTTAATGTATATTATTACATTAAATTTGTTGTTATATATATGCAATATTTATTATTATATCACTAATTTATTCCTCAAATTCCCCCCACAGTCTCTGGTCAAGCTGGAACGGTGCACTGGAACAATGGCAACACGGCCGGTGTGGGCGCCTGGTCCAATGCCCAGTCGGGCGGCATGCACCCGCCAGGCACCTTGGGCTCCCAGGATCCCCAGTACAGTTATGGCTATGCCGGCATTGATTCTCGTGGAACCTATGGCGGTGCCGGTGGCAATGGTGCCTACTATGTAGGCGGCACGGATGAGCATGGCCGACCGTTTTCATATGGCAACCAGGCTGGTGGCCAGCCGGGTTACATGGGCGGCATCCGGCCGGAGTCCAATTATTATGGTTACCGTAATGCGGCGGCAACCATGACGAGGGGTGTGGTCATGACCCTGGCCCTGGCCCTTGGTCTCACCTTGGTGGCCAGGAGACTTTGATGCGGTTGCAACGCTAGAAGATTGTTTTTTTTTTTACCTAGTTTCTAAGCTTAATTTATGTAAATTGTCGAAACGTGTGAATTGTTCATTAAAAGAGAAAACTAAGATCAAAACAATCGGGGTTTCTGTTGATTGCTGAACTGCGGGTGGAAGTCTCTCACCATTAGAGGAACTATTAAAAGTTAAGTTATAGTATAGGTAGTGCAAAAGTTGCTGGGTTTTGAGTGATTCGTATATATACTTAAGAGCTATAGATATTGCTAGTTCTATGGGTAATTAATATAGATTTATTTAGTTATTTATTCAACTCAAATTAAGGAATCTACTTTCTATATTTTTATAAATTATTTTTAGTTGTTTTGGCATGTTTTATATATTTTTTTAGTTACATCCACAAATCCTCTCAGGTTTTACTTATAATCTTTAATTATATTACACAACTTTAAGTGTTTTCATCCCTTAATATCCACTTTGAAAGCATCTTAAATTATCATTTTGAACTGCTAGAAATCAAATGATTATTGCTTCACACGCAGCTGCGCAGTTTAAGTGACTAAGAACTTTGGGCACGTCATCTTCCCTCCAAAAACACGCCCACACACGTCCCCCTGTAATTGGCTCCTTTTCCCAAAACAACACAAAAATAAAAACATACTTATATGGAATAAGTCGAGACGTACGGACACCTGTTGACAAAGCGTTTTGGACCAATTTAACTGAGTCACACACTGGGTGGGTTCCATGAGCTCATCTGGCACCCGAAATATACTAAAAACATTTTGTACATATGCTGAACATGTAAATGGGGCTAGATAAGTGAGACAAAAACATGTACTTATTAATTATCATACACTAAAAAAAAAATATATATAAATATTTTATATACTTTTATAAAAAAATCATAAAATGCATAAATAAATCAAAGGAACTTCTAGGTTCATTCCGTAAAATTAATTATAAATATTTACTTGTTAATTATTTTAACGAATACGAAGATACACATCTTTATTTTGCGTGTATAAATATTTCACTTATGACACGATCCGATGACTTTCCTTTCCAACCCACCCCTCTCCCTCTCCCCGAATGCAATTTGCCTGCCGATTAACCTAATTGCCCCGACCATAAGATGTCGTGTGCGTTTAGCTTGTCAGCTACTTAGCTCCAATGTCAATGTCAAAGTTGGATCACTTTTGATTTCGGTTCCCAGTCCCTGGGTTACCTACGTGCTGGCAATGATTATGGCGGGGGCGTGACCACCTAACCAGATCCGACTCATTGCCGCGGGGAAGATTACTTTTCAGGGATAGGAAAACCTGCTAATTTAAAATTGTTGGAAGTATATTTTAAGTAAGGAAATTTAAGACATATATAAAAATATATATTATGTATATGTTGAGATATAATATTATATATTTTTAAAAATATTTATAAAATATATAGAGATATTATATTTTGTATTTATACCTCTGCAGGGTATGATAATTTCAGTCAGAAGATGAAAAAGCAGTAAAGCAATTATTTTCCACCCCACAAATCATATATATTCTTGATCAGCATTAACAGGTGCGTCTTTCTAGACATCTCGGAAGGAAAACAACAAATTTTGCAAATTTTTTCAAAATTTGATAAGGGGTTACATCGTTAAAATTCTTAAAAATGGTCAATCTTATTTAAAATGTAGTATGCAGATTTTTTAACCTGGAAAAACCTAGCATAGAAAAGCTTTCCGAACTGAAATTAATACATTTTTGGCTGAGTTAAGATCGATTTCTGAAACGATGCCATGCTAGGGTATATAAATTTCGGCTTTCCGAAGTTAGTTTTGTATAGTTTGATATATAAATAAATAAAAATAAATATGTATTTTGGTTTTTCTATTAAAAAGATAGTCTATGATGGTCCTTTTAATGGTTTCCTTTTTAAGGATCTAAAAAAAAAACTGAATTTAGCTTGTTTTGTAGCATCGACCTGTAATTTGTTAGCATTCGTAATAATTTAGCTTAAATTTGTTATAAACACATTTAATTAAGACTGAAACCTGTTAAAATTATATATATATATTATGGGAAAAATTAATTAAAACCGGTTAATAATGATGTGAAGTCTCCGTAAGAACTGCAATTTTCATGAGAACTTAAGCTTTAATTGGGGTACTTCCCTTGTTTTCCCTAGAATCTAAGTTGAGTTTATGATATTTACAAAAAAAAAAAAAAAAAAAAAACAACTTTTCACCACAAACTTACCACTTGATTTATTTAATTAACCCATTTTTTGTACTCAATTGCTCAAGTTTTATGACAGCAGCGTGTGAACTTGGTTTGGTCTGATTATACGACCCAAGGTTACCCTTCCAAAAAATCGCATTAATACGACTCGTTTGTAATCTGCCAAAAAATACATTTATTTGTCTAGTAATAAACAATAATTATATCGGATTTGTTTTATTGATCTTGCTTTTGTTCATGCTCTCTCTCTCTGCTCCGTATTCCTGTTGCCTTCATTATGCTTTTGGTATTGCTCTGGTTTAATGTTCATGTTTCTATATTTTTAATTTAAAAAAAAAATGTATTTCTTAAAGCAAAGTCAGGGGGAAAAGAGGAACTTAATAGTGTGGCTTACAGGTAGAACTAACTATAAGTGTATATATATTTTTTGGAAATGATCTTCTGGAGTGATTCTGAAATCTAAATATATTCAAAGACGAAATAAGCCTGGTTTTTAATTGAATCCTGGACGCATTAAGTGTGTCCTTGTGTGTGTTTTTGTGTATCCTGTGTTGCTGTTATTGGGTCTTGACTGTACTCTATAATACAAATCGGTTTTAATTGATTGCTGCTGTTCTATTGCTTCCTGTTGTTCCTTTCTATAGAAATATATATATATTATATATTTTGGCCCAGCAGGAACAAGGCTCTGGTATATATATATATATATATATATATATATATATATATTTATGTATGTGTGTTTGTGTGTATCTGTAGGTATTTGTTTTAAGTGTATGGCATACAAATATAATGTTTGTTCTTGGTAATTTAGGCTACAATTTGTAGGTTGCTTCTTGATTTTTTCACTAATTGAATTCTTTCGTCATTCCGCATTCGTCCTTTCTAGGTATACATACGTATTTTAGTGGATCCTTTTCCTTGTGTGTGTGTGCGTGTGTGTGTGAGAGTTCCTGTTTTCTGTATATCATATGTTTTGTCTGGCTATGCTCCCTATATATGTATATGTATTTGTTATATATACGCTTCTATCGTTTGCACATTCTATACCAAAGCATCCTACATCGCCTTGGCCATAGCTCTCTAAACGTTTGCCACGCCTACTAGCCTACAGCTAACCACCGCCCATTATTAACCGGCCAATCGGGAATATATATATATATATATATATATATATATATATATATATATGTATATATATATAATGTACATGGTTTGATATACGTACGACATATATATCAGTGATCTTTTAAAGGTCAAGGATATACATGAGATATATCTCCTTCAAAACAACCCCAACTGATCACTGATATATATGTATATATATATCTGATATTATATATCCCGCTTTGGCTTTTAAGTATGCTCCCAATGTCCTTAAGTCACTTTTCCGGAAGAAGAATTAAATAATAACAGGTAGAGTTGGTTTAAAAAAATAATACATATATATTTAGAAAATTATACACATGTGCATAGATGTATGTGTGTGTGTGTGGGTGTGTGCATAAATAAGTTCTTATATTCACTTAATCGCTCTTCGCTTTTTTTTCTCAGTGTATTTGGTATAAAACAAACTATTTGCAAATGCTAAGCTTTACAACTAAATTAAATTAATATAAAAAAAAGGTTTTCATTTAAAAATAAGGATATTTATACGTATATAATATAAAATATATTAATAATGTGACTTGTTGTTGTTTTTTTTGTTGTTCCCTCTCCTCCTCTCTCTCTCTCTCTCTGAAATCAAATTTCCAAATTCAAACGAAAACGAAAACAAATAATAAAGTTAGGAAAAGAATTACAAAATCATGTTTTTTTTTCGTTACATTTGCTTACAAAAACTAACAACAACTAAAAAAAATAGATTTATATAGTATATAGTATAATATAATATAATTTATAAACAGCGCCTAGAAGAAATCCATGTCAAGCATTCCAGAAATCTCATTTCGAAGAGTTCAATATAGTCAAGTTGGTGTCTGTCTTCTGTGCGCAAAGTGTGTGTGTGTGTGTGTGTTTGCCTGAGCATCAATAGGTTAAGCATGATCTTACATGATCTTACAAGATCTTACATGATCTACAAGATCTTACAAATATCTCTAAACATATGTATGTATATGTGTGTAAAGGGAGGAGTTTGGATTTTTCGAATTTGAGTACAAGTTGGAGCTATAGATATCCTTGCAAAACGTAAGCTACTAGTTTTTTAGTTTCGATTTAATAAAATATGAATAGGGTAATATATAGTATATAGAAGGAGGAATGAAACACTTGAAATGGAATACAATATATGGCTAAGAGTAAGTAAAAGCCAGAATATTTTTGAAAAATTAAGACTGAATGAGAACTTGAACTTGAAAGTTCAAAGTCAAATTATGTTCTTTCAGTTCTCTTGATTTAAAATAACAATTTTTTGTAGACAATACTGTTGGGTTGGTGGCCAAAGAACTTCAATGAAATTATGTGTCTTGGTTTTGAATTCTTTTCGATTTCTAAAAATATTTATAAATGTAAAAAATGATTTGTTTCCAAAGAAGCAAGGTTCTTAATTAATTATTAAAGGATTACAAAGTGAAAATATATATTTAGATAAATATCAAATATATAACCCTTTAAAAATTAATTAATATTATATTTATATACATTTAAAAAATGAAATACAAAAAAACAAAACCCGTTTGCAAGGATATCGCTCCAGCGGAAAAAGTCAAGTGCAAACGGAAAGCTGTACACAGAATGTTGACTAACTTGCTAATAATGATAATAAATACGTACAACTTAATAACAAAAGCATCCGCGTTTTTTTGTGTGTGTGTGTGTGTTGGTGGTCGGAATAAATAAATTATGTAATACAATGTAAAATATTTAGTGCCTTCTTCTAGCAGTTAATCCCCTACATGTTCCGCCTCTCTTTCTATCTCCTACGATTCCTTTGCTTTTCGCCTACGTTTTGGTCATGTGTGTAAGTGTTAAGTGTTTGTGTGTGTCCTGGTGTATCTCATATCCCGCCCCGACAGAGGTAGTGTCCTCCTTTGTGTTTTTGTGTCTGTTTTAGATTAAGGAAACATTTGGTCGCCGGGCGCAATCGAAATTGTATTAGGAACAACGAATGCCCGTTAACGACGGCCCTTACGAGTCCTTCCTCTTTCGATAGCATCTTCATCTCTTAACAACAAAAAAAAAAAAGACTATCTTTAACAATATTGTAGACTGTAGACTGATCAAAACAATGCAACTTTTCACTTCTCTTTCTCATTTGTTTGGCCTCTGCCAGGGCTAACTCCTCCTCCTCCTCCTAATCCTCCTCTCTCTTCAATCTGAATTTAAGCTAATATCCCTACTACACCCCACCATCGGGTCTGGCCCTGCGCTGCTAGCTGGAGCTGCACACTAGACCCTGCTTGTGGGGCAGCTTGAGCAGGCGACGCGTCCGGAACTCGTAGGCCCGTCGGCAGAACATCACCAGCTCCGGATTGGTATTATCTGGCACTGTTCGCACCGAATGGCAGTGGGCGCTCATTGGCCGGCGGGGCACTATGCTAATGTCCTCCACATCCTCCTCGGCAGCACGTAGACGTCGACGATACCTAAACGTAAGAGTAGAGTTTAAGATATTGGCCTGGAAATTCACCTTTGACGAGCCTGCTGCACTACTCACCTGCAGTATTCGCTGAAGGTAAGCACATAGCACTTGTCTTCAATGCAGGCCACCGAGTTGTGGTCGCGATGCCGCGAGGCATACACCTCATCCGGACAATCGTTGCGCTGCCTGCCCCTGTCTGTGTGCTCTGGCCGGTAGTACCACAGCAGCGACATCATCATCTCGCCTGGGGAAGATGGAGAAATTATAAATTAATCAATTTATAATGCATTCAGATCTATAAAATTAACCCACCATCTTCGGGATTCTGCCAGAGATGTGCCACCTTGGCCACATAGGGCAGCTCGTTGTCCTCGTTGGCCTTGAGCAGCACACAGTCGCGGGTGCGGATAATGTCGCCCTCCACATGCCGCATGGCTGGATAGCAGGTGCGCAAGACCAGCGGATCATCGCTCTACAAATATACCATTATCAAATATTATTAGAGAAAATCCCTCTACGAATATCAAGCAATACTCACATTAAGAAAAACAGCACCCTGGAAGGCCTTCCCCGCCCACATCCATCCATTGTTCCACTTGGGCACCACATTGGCCTTTGTGGCCGGTGGCTGGGTCTCGTCCAGCTCATAGCTGACGCCTCCTGGTCGCTGCTTCTGTCGCTTGCGATTCCCAAACTTGCAACGAGATCTGGCTCGCTTTGTGTGCGTGGTGGCCTGGACATGGCGAGTGGGCGCAAGAGAAGGAGGAGGAGGGTTGGTAGCCGGCACCAAAAACATGTGCTGCTCGCCGGAATGTTGCTGCTGCTGCTGCTGCTGCTGGGAGGTTGCTGATCCAGCTGTGGCAGCTGCGGTCTCTACAAACTTTTGCGCCTGCAGATCCGCCGTCTGGTACTCATTGTTGTTGGTCTCCTGGGTGGCAAGGGGTATTGCAGTTACCGCTGCCTGTCCAGTTGCAGTTGCTGCCCCTGTTGCTGCTGCTGCTGCTGCTGTTGCTGCTGCTCCTCCTCCTGTGGCCTTCTTGCCTTTGCTCTTGGCCTTGGTGCTGGCAGCCTGCTTGCGTGGCTTCTTGGCCGCCGGCGGTGCTGCCTCTGCTGGCTTTTTGGTCTCCGACTTGGAGCGCTTCTCGCCTGCCGGCTGACTGGAACTGTTGTTGGCCAGCAGTGGCGAGGGTGTGGCATAGAGCCCGCCCACCGTCGTTGTGGCCGTTTTGCTGCGACTGCTGTGATTCAGTTCGGGATCGCTGAAGTAGCCGCGGCTCAGCGCCGTGTCCAGGCCCTCGATCAAGTGGAGGGCAGCGATCTCTTGCTTGCGTGGTCGTGCCCTTTTAGGTGAAGTGCAGGAGGCTGTGGGCTGCTCTTCTTTGCCGCTGATCGCTTCGGCAGTTGTCGTTGTTGAAGGCTGAAGGGCACCTGTCTCTGCCGCCGCTGCTGCAGCTGCAGCTGCTGCTGCTGCCTCGATAACTTCACGTTGGAACTGACGCTTCAGGCGCATCCTCTGTGTAAGCAACAATTGACGCCGCTTGGCATACTTGGCGGGCGCCCGGCCATGCCGACGGACAAAGGTGCGTCCTGGACACAGGTAATTCTTGGGCTCTGCCTGCTTGATCAGGCTTTTGTAGCTGTGGTGAGTCTTGGTCTTTTTGTTGCCGCTGGAGGAGGCCAGCAGGTTGATGCGCTGCTTGCTGATGCCAGGCGTGGGCTCCTGCTGCTGCTGCTGCTCCTTCTCCTGTTCGTGCTCCTTTCCCTCCACTTTCTCTTTTTCTGGTTCTCCCTCTTGCTCTGGCTCTATTTTCGCCACAGGTGCGTGTGATGTGGCTTCCGCTACCTCCTGATGCTTTTGCTTTTGCATTTCCGTTTCCGTCTCCTGTTCCTGTTCCTGCTCCTGCTCGGGTTCCGTTTTGATAGTGGGCTTGAGGTCCGGCAGTTGGCTGATATGTGTGCTGGCCTGCGCCTCACCGTCCTGCTCGATTTTGATTTTGGTCTCTGCTTTGATTTCCGCTTTAAGTACAAAAGGCAACTCTGGTTCCGCTTCCGTGTCCCTAGCAGTGGGCTTCTGCTCCTCTTGTTTTTGATGCTTTTGCTGCTGCTGCTGCTGCTGTGCTGCATACACCATCTCTCTGGCCATGCTCTTGCCTATCCTTGCCTTCCGCGGCACTGCTGCTGCCTGAACAGCCGCTGTGGCTGGGGGCGGCGTGCTGCAGGTAAGGTCATATGCCTCAATATGCTGCTGGTGCTGCTGCTGCTGATGCTGGTGTTGCTGCTGCTTCTCCAGCCGCAACCCCAGGCCCAGGCTCAGCTCCAGCTCTGCCTCGTGCTCTTGCTCTTCGAGCAGCTTCTCATCGCTGGCACAGTAGCTCTCTGGCGGCGTGGGCGGAGGCATCACATGCGCCTCGTACTGCATCTTGGTCACTTCTTGGCCATCTTCGCCTTTGAGCTCTGTCTTGACCAGCATCTGACACTGGGTGCCAGTGGTGGCTGTGGTTGCCGTGCTGCTGGTCGTATTGGTTGCTGCAGTTGCTCGCGAGCTGGTCTCACCTGTTTGGGTGCTGCTGCTGCTGTTGCTGATGGTGGTGATGCTGCTGCTGTTGCTGCTGCTGCTGCTACTGCTGCTGGTCGTTGTTGTGTTGGTGGTGACATTTTTCACTGGGCCTCTACTGGTAGTCAACGCTGACGCCGTAGTTGTTGTCATAGCGCTGCTGCTGGCAGTCAAGGTGCTGCTGCTGCTGTTGCTGCTGGAGTTGCTCGTGGAACTCGTCAACATGTTGCTGCTGCTGCTGCTGCTGTTCTTGCTGCTGATCTGATTGATGTTGTTGTTGCTGCTGATGTTGCTACCAATATGAGGCCCAGTATGGACGTTTTTTGGACACGATTGAGGCATTGGGCAGGGACACTGCGGCGGATACTCTGCAGGAGGTAACAAAAAGGAAATGTATTTATATAAATGAAACCCTAAATCAAGTGTTGCCTAGTTTGGTAAGCCAAAAAACTCCGAAAAAATAACAATAAAACAAGACAAGAAAACATCCTTTAAAAGGGTTCTTTGGCTAACCAATTTTGGCAACACGGACACTGGCCAAACTGCATCCGGGACTGGACCATACTTTTCCTTACCCATATACGGTCCTTGCAGGCCGCGCGTGTAGCACTGGCCACCGGCCGCTCCTCCACCGGGACTATAGCCGGCGTAGTAGCTTGGCGGCCCTGGATAATGCTCCAGATGCTGTTGCTGCTGGTGTTGCTGCTGCTGATGTGCCGGTACCAGTTGGCTGCCAGCTGGTGCTCCAGCAGCTGCTGCTGCTGCTGCTGCTGCTGCCGAACTGCTGCTCGTTGGCGGTTGCTGCTGTTGCGGCGGCCCAGACGCCGAGTTTGGTGGCTGCGGCGGCGGCGGTGGGGGCTGCTGCTCGTAAAGCTCGGGTGGCGGATGCGGACCTGCGTGCTGGTAATACGGATAGCGACGATAAGCACCTGGTGGCGGTGGCGGCGGACCCTGCGGATGATGGCCTTGCGGATGATGCGATGGCGGACCCGGTGGCGGCCCCGGCTGGTAGACCTTGCTGGAGAAGTAGGGCTGGTAGGTGGGCGACGAGTAGCACATGACCTCGCCCGGATACGGCGCGTAATAGTTGGGCGGATAGGCGGTCGAGTAGTGGATCTGGGCCGCGTGCATTGAGCGGGAATAAGGCACGCCCGGATGGGCGGCGGCTGCCGCAGCAGCGGCCGCCACGGCGCTGGCCGGATACGGCTGCGGTTGCGGCGGATGCTGCGCCTGTTGTGGGTTTTGCGAGTGGGCCTGTGCCTGTGTCTGAGCCTGAGCTTGTGCGGCCTGATCAGCCTCGGCGGCTGCCTGCTGCTGCTGCTGCAGCTGTGTGGGTGATCCTGCCGAAGAGGCGATCTCGTCCTCTTGCAGCTTCTTCACCTGTGGCGGCGGCGGCGGGGCGGCAATCACATGTGGCGAGATCAGCGGTCCAGCCGGCTGATAGTAGCCTGTAATAAGGTAAGAACAGAAAAATTGAGCTTTAGTTTTGGCATACCGAAAGTAGAGCAGCATCAATATTTTATCTCTGCGAAGATAGATTTTCTTCATCATTAATTACAACACTGAAAATAAGGCTTATCTATGATGGCACCTAGGAAATGTAGAATCAGGTTAGGATTCGAGTATGAAAAGGTATCATGCTTGGGTGTAATTGCTAGAAGGGTCTTTAAAGGTACACTCATAAAAATTTGTACCTAATTCGCTTGTATATTAAGACATTTGCCCTAAAAAAATGAGTCAAGTTTCCCAAGATTTCAGAAAAATTAGTCCTAAAATCAAGGCCGGCAACCCTTACTTCATTCCAGGGATGTTAGAACTAGTTGGGAATTATTATTAGAGAGAGTTTTCTTAAGAATACTCCGAAAGCTGTCAAGTTCTGGCTACTCCCTATGATTTTTGGATCTTGCAACAACCAATCGTGTGTGCTTTGGGCAGATCATTTGCTTGGACATTCTGGCTTAAAGCTGCTTTTGAAGGACCGCAACTGCCTTCTCTGTGTGTCCGTTCTAGGAAGCCTCTACTGTCTGGGAGCAACTACAAATCGAGACCAGACGGTGTTGGCAGAGGGACGTGGCAGTAAAGTGAAGTGAAGTAAGGCAACAATGCATAAAGTGAAAGTTGGCCTGGCCGAAAAAGAAAAAAAAAAGCGAGTGAGCGAGCGAAACCAGTTGAGCGGCTCCAGTTTGCTTTACGGAATAGCACCGAGCAGCAGCTGGTCGTGCAACAATCCCTCCCTCGCTACCACAGCTCCTCTCTCTAAATGTCCCCCCTACACCCAACTGGAGGAGATGGTGGACTCCATTACCTCTTCCCAGCATGTGGGCCGCATATAAAATGTCGCGAAAATGATGCGCAGCATGCTGTTGCAGGAACGTAAAAGATTCGGCAATGTTGGCCGCCAAGGCAGCAGCGGCTGCCGCATTTGCCTCATCCGCTCCTGGGGCTATGCTGCTTCTCGTGCTCCCTCCTGGGAATCCTGCCTCGTTTAGGTTGGGCAATCCGGGCATCCCGGGCATTCCTGGCATTCCTGGCATTCCACCAGCGGCGGCGGCGGCGGGCGACAGGGCAGCGGACTGTGTAGAGCGGTCCGTTTCGCAGGTGCCGCTGCTGCTGGTGCTGCCCACGCTGGAGCAGCGCTGCTGCTGCTGATGATGATGCAATTGGTGGTGCTGCTGATGCTGAAGAGGAAGATGATGCTGCTGCTGAAGCTGCAGGGAAAGCGGCAACTGATGATGAAGCTGAAGCTGGATCAGATCGCTGGTTGGGAGCAGCGGATTGTGCACGGCGGCGGATTTCGTGGTTGCTGCTTCTGCTGCTGCTACAACTGCCGACTTTTTTGTGGTCTCTTTTAGGCGCATCTTCGATTCGATCGGCGATTTTTACAAAATCCCCTGCGTTGCCGCTCGTATACAAAATATATATATGTTTTTTTGTATATATATATATGTTTTAGATGCTAAGTTGTTTCTTGTATATATATCTTCGCGTGTGTGTGTATATATAATAGGCGTTTCTTGTATATATATGTATACTGTATATGTATTTTGTATATATATGTATATGTATATATGTATGTCAACAAGGAAGTTTCATTGTTAAGGCAACTCTTATTATTTTCATTTAATTTCAAACAGTTTTCGCTCTTTTCTCCGGTTTTTTTTTTTTTTGTTATTCAAAGTTTCTTGAATTCTTCATTTGGTTTGCTGCAAAATCACGAGAGGAAATTAGACAAAAATCACACACAACACACACGCACACACGATTTACGCGAAAAGTTTTAAAAATGATTTTTAAATATTTTTTACGCGACTTTGAGGCTTTGAGGTTTTACGCGAGCTTTTCCTGGTGATTTGATTTGTTTAATAATTTTATTATAAGTTGATATGTTGTTTTATGTGTTTTTTACTGGCGATTTTTCTTTATATATTTTTTTATTAATTTAATATGATTTGAAAACATTGCATAGTTTTTTTTTTATAGATTGTAGAGTTTTGTTTGACATTTGTTGAGTTTAATTGCTTTTTTATTTGTTATTTTTACTTAGTAAAATATTTAACTATTTATTAGGGGTTTTTATTATGATTAATTTGTTATTTTAGCATAAAAAACCTATATTCTCATATCAATTCTCAGCGAAACTGAACAACTTTTAGAATTTCTTTCAGCAATTTTCGTAGATTTTCTTATGAAATATCTTTGGCTTGTTAAAAAGCATATAAAGGGGTGTTGTTGGGTGGTTGGAATATTGGGGAATAGTAACGAATAATTTTTCCATTTTTATTTTTTTAATATCAGGTGGCCGATGCAACAACTTTGCGTTGCGCCAGAGGGGAGACATCGAAACGAGTTCTTCGAACAACAAGTGCCAACGGCCAACAACAAACAGCTGTTGGTGAGAGCCACCCATTCCACCCACTCCCACTCTCTCTGGTCTCTCTCTCTCATGTCTCACTTGTCGCCTGTTCTCGGAGCGGGGAAGCATCGAGAAGCCAGAAAGCCAAAAGGCGACTAACGAAACCGAAAACCGAAGACCCCAACTTACCAACAACAATAACAACAACAACAACAATAACACCAACAACAATAACACCAACAACCGAAGCAATAACAATAACAATTGCCGCTGAAGTTGCAGCGTGTGAAAATCGACGCCAGCAGAGGCAGAGGCAGCGGCAGAGACAGGGACATCGGCACGTAGCATATTCAGTGCTGACGTCACGCGCCATAAGCGCCTGCAAAGGTACTGAGCTTTAGGCTATTTTGTAGCCAAATTAAAAATATTAAGAAATACCAAAAAATTTAAATATATATATTTTCATTACCAGATATTCCAAAATTCTGAAATAAGTCAGGGAGACATCTCAGATATTTAATCTTTTTTTCCATTAATATTCTAACGTTACTATGGTAGATATATGATATAGTCGTCTGATCCGGCACGTTCCCACTTACATATATATCAGTGAGAATAGTTAGTTAGGCTAACTGCAAAGTTTTATTCGGATATTTTAAAAATTGAGAGTAAACGGACAAATTGACATGGCTAGATCGACTCGGCTGATCATGAAAAAACGATTTTTTAATGAGAAATTAAGCCAGCTTTGACTTAAATTATAATATCATAATATTAATTTAATAATAAATACAAAAAGTAATTTTCTAGAACCAATTTGTATCAACACTGGTCATAAGATGGACTCTGGCAAAAGACAGGTGGCGCTGTGGTGGTTGGGGTATAAGGGGAACGACACCGGATAGATGGCGCTCGAGTGCAGGCCAGGTGCTGTCATCATTATTGTTATTTTATGCCATCGCCTGTCAAATGCAACAAGGATTGTGCAAAAACAGCACGCAAACGCAAACACCGACGACAATTTGTCAACGCCTGCACTTGACCTACACACAATCGCACACAGACACAAACACACACACACACACACAGAAAGAGAGAGCCGGGGTGTGTGTGGGTGTTATATATATCCATCCGTCAACCTGTGTTTGTCATTCCACGTTAAATGGAAAGGTGAGTGAGGTTGAGAAAGGTAAAAGCCAGAGAGAGAGAGAAAAAGGGGCGCCACTTCAATATGAAATAATCTTATTTCCGCTTTTCCATAACCCTTTGAAGTCGACAAATTTAATCAAATTGAGTGTGGCCGAGCAGTGCCCGCTAATACAAGAAGATCCTCCCACATTTTACCTGCCACTCGCAGCTAATTTAATAAATAAAACAGTAAAACAGCAAGAAAAGGTTTTAAGCACTTAATATTTTTTCCATTTCTAATATTTTCTTTGTCCTTATTTAAATTTGTTTAAATATCTTTTAAAAACTTTACAAGGTTTTTACAAATCCAAAAGTTTATATTTTCTTATCAAAAGTACCTGGTTTTAATACCAAATTCTTCCATTATTTACTACAAACAGTCTGGCAAACACTTAAAAATAATGCTTAAATTGAAAATGCATACCATGAAATAAATCTTGGCAACAAATTAGCTCACAAAGTCAAAAGAAAGTCGTTCGCTTGCATCGATTTAAGCTTCTTCTGGAGCAATGGAGAGCCAGCTTGGTGAATGTCTAGATTCCATGTTGGACAATACGGGTCAAAAGAGAATGGTTACCGCATACGAAGAAGATTAAGGGGGAACTGGACTGGATTTCTCTGATTAAATCCGATTGATCCAAACATAATCTAGCGATTAAGTTGCAACAGCGAAAGGATGGCTTGGATATTCGAGTCTATTTTTGTTTATAAATGTTTATTACTTGATCTTATATTCCTTGTAGGGTTTTTTCTTGTTAATAGGTGTGCTGTAACACATGAAAAATGCATGCAAATGTAAGCACATGTTAGACAACGTTTACAACTTCAATAAGTTCCAGGGAGTTCCAGGGCCCCCATCATCGGGATCGCGGTTCAGGCAATTAGCGGAAAACGCTTGCCATTAAGGGCCACTACGAACGTTGTCATCATTATAAACATCACTATCATCATCATCATCATCATCATCATCATCACCATCACCATCATCATCATCATCATCGTTGTCGACGTCGTCGTCTGGCACAACAGACTAAGTGAATAATTACGCATAATTAAATGCACGCAAAACGATGCCACGCCCTCAAAGGAAAGGGTAAACGCACCCACCCCGCCCATTGCACCTGCTTCGATCGCTTTGGATCTCGAATCCATAACTCATCCATGGCCCCCAAGGCGCAGCACAGTCCTGCAGCAAGTCCCAAAAAAAGAAAAATATATAAAATAAAATACAAAATCCCAACTTTCTCCTTTCACAATCGATAAGCGACGAAATTTGTTTTCTCCCCATCATTTTCTGGGTGAAAGGGAACCAGAGATATATATACAATATACTTTATATATATAAAACTCATATACTTGAATGTTTTGTCACAAAAGTAGGAAAAAATATAATTATCAAATGTGGTG